GGGGGGGGGGGGTCCCTAAATGACCAACTCTGAAATCTGGATCTCTTGTCTGCTTTAGGCCAATATTCTGATGTCTACGTGAATGGTTTGTATTTAAAGTGGACCTGTCATCAGATATATGTTATCATGTGAAGTGTGGCATGTTCTGTAATGTGGCCGCAGCCTCTCACCCTGCAAATTGATACAGTGTTACAATGTTGCAGTCTGACCACTGGGGAGAGGAGACTGAGGAAATGCTTTCTCCTGCCTGTAGCAGACTGATGACATCATTTCAGCCTAGGCCAAGTCACTGGCTGGACTCAAGGATGGGCTTGATAATGATAAAATGTGGAGCTTTTAAATGTCATAGGAAGCCGTAGAGCTCCTTCTTCTGGCCGATAACACAGAAGGGGCCCTTGGATGCTCTATAGGGTTTCCATTGCAGTCAGCCTATAGAAGATGTTACCGTCAGCAGCTTCTACTCCTGTGGCGGCACTGGCGGAACTACCAGGGTTGCAGCAGTCGCAATTGCGACCGGGCCCTGGGGTGTTCCACCACTTGGGGGGGGCAACAAGGAAGAAGAGGGCAACCCGAGATCGTGCCGCTCCTTCCCTGCCGCACAGCCAGCCGCAGCATGTATGGGTGGCTGTGCAAGGGGATGGAGAAGCTGTCAACAGTCCCACTGCCGGGCAGCACATTCTGCTGTGTGAGCACCCTCTATTATAATGTATTGCTGGGACTTGTAGTCCCGCACAGCTGGTGGTATTCTGCGTTGCTGTATGATGATTACACAGCAATGCAGAATAGAACCAACTGTGTAGGACTCCAAGTCCCAGCAATGCAATATATTTTTAAGTAGGGATACACCAGTGCCAATACTTGGCATTTTCACGAGTACGCATACTAATGCCCGGATACTAAACGCAGATACCGGTGTTCTGTCGAGAACGCTGACCTAGTCGAATTTGCCGACCTCAGCATCTGCGCTTGCGCACAGACAAATATAATCGAGGAAACCGGGATTTATTTACAAAGTATCTCGTTTAAATCGTTAATTGTAATCGTTAATAATATTCCATCATTTACTGCCGTCCATCATTTACTGCCGTCCATCATTTACTGCCGTCCATCATTTACTGCCATGGACGGCATATTATTAACGGTCACAATTAACCATCACAAACAAATAATTTGTAAAATAAAAAGCCGGTTTCCTCGGTAATCCCTTCTGTACATAAGCGCAGATACTGGGTCGGCGTTCTGGACAGAACCCCAGCACTGAAATTTTTAAAAAGCGGCTGCCTGAGGTCCCGCGCTTACTGGGGACCTCGGCAGCCTTCCTGTTAACCGTGCGGTGCCATGGCGGATGGAGGGGGGGGCCCTTCATGGTTTCTTGCACCGGGGGCCCTGAAGGTTCTAGTTAAGCCTCTGTGTGGCGGTACAAACGGTTGTGGCTGTGATACGGGATGACTCTTCGGCCTGTATCGGAGAGACAACGCAACGTTCTTCGTCTTGATGCAAGCGCCGCCGGCGCCGTATTACACCCAGAAGATGACTATACGGAGTTAATTCACCGCAGTCGTATTTTGCAGGTGGCGACTGATAGGTTTGTACTTTATCCATTTCCAGCGCCGTTATCCGGTCATAAATATATTTCTCCCGGCGACTAAGTGTGTTTAATTAAGAGTAATGCTCCGCCGATGAAATCCCGCGCTCGCTCCTTCCTCGGATAATTCACGCTGCTCCGCCGCAAACTAGCCGAACTCATCCAGCGAACTTGCAGATGATATATTCCGCCGGCATTACTCAGCTCATCTTCAGCGCCTGATGAGCCGAACGGAACTATTTAAATCCTCTTAATTTGCAGGAAAGGGGAGAGAAGAAGAGCCGGCGTGCCAAACAATTGTAAATTCAATGACTTTGTTTTATCATCGGAAGATAATGATGTGAGATTTGGATTAATCTTGGCGAGTGAATTATACCGCTGGTTTTTTGTTTTTTTCTCATGCAGAATTTTGTGAATGGAGATCAGTAATGATAAAGAGGTTGGTAGAGATTATACTGGGGAAAGTATTGTTACACTCTTCTGGGTGTACGCTGGGTGGCCCATGGGTGTGTGTTGGGTGGACTATGGTTGTGTGCTAGGTTCGCCAGCAAGTGAGGGTTGGATGGCCTGCCGGTGTGCTGGGGTAGCTAGTGGATGCGTGCTTTGTGGTCCACAGATGTGTGCTAGGTGGCCCATGATAGTATGCTGGGGGGAGCACAAGTGTTCTCTGGGCGGTTGGTTGTATTCTAGGTGGCCTGTTGGTGTGTACTTGGTGGATCCTGATGTGTTCTAAGTGGCCAATGGGTGTGTCCTGGCTGACCCACCATTGTTTTTTGAGAGGTTGGTTGTATTCTAGCTGGCCTGTTGGTGTGTACTTGGTAGATCATGACGTGTTCTAAGTGGCCAATGGGTGTGTCCTGGCTGCACCACAGTTGTTTTTGTGTGGTTGTATTCTAGGTGGCCTCTGGGTGTGTGCTAGGTGACCCACAATAGTATGTTGGGTGGCTCACAAGTGTGATGATTCATTGGTAATTTATGGCTGACCGGTTGTATGCTAGGTGGTCTGTTGCTGTGCGTTTGGTGGTTCATGGTGTGTACTGGGTGGCTCATGGTGATTTCTAGGTTTCCAGTGGTTGTGTACTGGGTTGCAGTCAACTGTGAGCTGGGTGGCTCACAAGTGTGTTATGGCTGCCCCATATGTTTTTTGGCTGGTTGGTTGTATTCTAGGTGACCTGTGGGTGTGTGCTACGTGACCCACAATAGTGTGCAGGGTGGGTATTTTTGAGTGGCTGGTTGTATTCTAGGTGGCCCATCGGTGTGTGTTAAGAGGCTCATGGCATGTTTTGGGTTTCTTATGGTGTGTGCTGGGTGGCCCACGGAGTGTGCTGGGTGGCCTGCAGCTATGCCCTGGGTGGCTCACAAGTTTGTGCTGGCTGCCCCACAGGTGTTTTCTGGGTGGACCATGGTGGTATTCTAGGGGGCCCATCATTGTGTGCTGGGTGGCCTGCTGCCATTAGCTGTAGCACATACAAACACTTCAGTGTAGGAAATATTTTCAACTATGGCGTCACCAATCCCACCAAGACTAATCATGGTGCTACACTGCCTACTGAGCACGTACAAGATGTCAGCATTGAGAGTAGAAGGAAAGATCCCCCCCCCACCTTGCTGCAATGTTCTGCAAGTAGTCAGGGTACCAAGAGGAGCTATCGGCCACTAGAGGAACCCACACTGACACAACAGTGGATTCAATGCACCCTTTTTCAATGCCTTCAGAACCAGATGTACAAAGTCACCAAAGGGTCCCTGTGCCAGATCCATTTTTAGAGGGCCCGATTTAAGAATAATGTAAATTCCTTCCCATTTCTCGCCTGCCCTAGAAGTGGGCACTGTCCAGGTCTACATGACTGTAAGTAGTGGTCCTAGCTTCAGCCTGACCCACAATGAGCATAAACAGGCTCTTGTGTAGCTGCACAATCTGCACAAATGGTTTGTGCACACTTGCCCTAAGCCAGCTTGGAATAATGGCGCGCAGGATGAAGAAGGAAGGCAGGGACTTAAAGAGATGGAGCAGTCGAGGAGATCTGCATGAGTGGGGGAGGTGCAGATGGCTTGGTAAACATAAGTGGTCCCTGGCCTCTTTTTAGTTTATAATAGTCAGGGTGAAGTCCTCTACCACCCAAGACGAAAGGGTCCTTTTTGCTTCCCCCCTCCTGCTGAAATGCCCAAGACCATCACCTCCTCTGCCTACCCCTCGGCCCAGCGCTGATTTCACAGCCCAGGAGTCATGTCCATCCAACACATGCATAGTCATCCCCGTACATGGGACTTCATAAAGCTGGTTGTTACCCCGGCTCTGCAGTTCGGCGGTCAGCTGCCTCTCCAGATTTTCCCGTAACTCCCTTTCCCGGCACAGCTCCATCTTTAGCTCCTTCTTCTCCTGCTGGATCTGCTTATCCTGCACCCTGGCATTGTCCACCGCCACTTTTAGAAGGCCCTGAAAGAGAAGAGACACTAAGCAAAGACCCGAGGATCGCTTCATGGAGGGATCAACAGTTAGCTGCAGTCTATAAAAGTCAACAGAATATCCTAATAGGTCCTAATCAGGGATGTTCCTAGAATTATTGCCA